TATTCCCCAAGCTTCAGCCAAACGTGAACACTTAGTATTCCCCAGAATACTTTATACTTTCTTGCTTCTAAGCCTTTGCTTAGCTGAGCCTTCCTCTAGAAATGGTCTTCCCTTCCTTATTCCTTTTCCACTCTCACCTGCTTCTTGGCCTTCTATGCCTACTGAAATTCAACCCAGCCTTGAAGACTTACCCAAGTATCACCTCTTCCTGCAGTTGGTGGGCATACTGGGAGCAACCTGTTCTTGAAACTTTTTACTGGGTACCATTGAACTCCAATTTCTTTTTGTTGCAATACAACAGTCTTTTCCGAGACAGAAGCTGTATTCTTGGTTGTACAATAGCGCTGATATGAGAGAGTTATTTCCTTTTTAAATCTATTTAAATCATTCTGAATAAACCAAGGGGCTGATGGATCAGTCCCATATCCCTAATGCTTGTTAGACTTCTTTTATAACAAAGGGAATAGGCTTTAGACTCACCCCTTTATCAAGCAACAGTAATGTGCTAGCATTTAGTAACATTGTTTCATTTTTATTATATTTATTTTTAAGGTTACTTTTTTATCTATGGCAAGTGCTACTAGTTTATCATTTGTAGAATGATATAAAGTTTCTTTTTAAAATGACATTTTTAAGTTAAAAAGTGAGTTAACTTGAAGAAAAAACCCGTAAGTAAATAATAGTATAGTAAACCATCTTGCTGATCTGTAGTGTGTGCTGATTTCTGCAGTGGAAATTTTCCCACCACGCCTATTTCAAGTAACCAAGGTGATTGCACTGAATCCAGAATTGAGGAAAGACATGCAGAATGAGCAAGCTCTCTGAGTCTGTACAAGTGACTCCAGCTCACCACTGGGTGGGGCTCAGATATAGCAAAATCAGGAAGGTGGCAGGGCAATGGCTGAAGCTTGGGACGTGTTTTTTTAGAGTCGCTTTTTGTATCGATCTTATTCCCCATAGTAGAGCGCATGTGCCTTGAGGGGACTGACTGCTACTTGCTCATTTTTGCAAACCCTGAAGTACCTGGCAGGGGGTTGTGGTGGGCACATCTCACCAGGCTGAACCTTCTGGAAGGGGGACTGGATGAACTGCTTTTCTGCCTTAGGATGGCAGTGACTTGGAGTTTCTGGCTGTTGGTAACTCAGCTCCAGGCAGGGGTGCAGCCCTTGGTGGAAGGCACAGGAGGGCACAGGATGATGCAGGGGCAGGGGGAGAGGGTGTCTGACTCACACTTGATGAGACTTCACATTTTGTTTTCATCCAAACGTACTTCTCCCTTAAGAGGTGTGAGATAAGGGCTAATATAAGGAGAATAGAATGGAAAAGGAGAGATTTAAGGTGTTATATTGTATTAAGGCCTTGTATAATATTAGGCCTACTGTAATGAAGTACCATAAGTGGGGTGGCTTACCAATAGAAATCCATCGTCTCACAGGTGTGGAGGCTAGAAATCCGAAGTCAAGGTATTGGTAGGATTGGTTCCTTCTGAGAACTGTGAGGGAAGGATCTGTTCTAGGCCTTTCTATTTAGATTATAGATGACCATCTTTTTCCTGTCTCTCTTCATAGTGTCTTCCCTCTATGCATGTCTGTATGTGAACAAATTTCCTCTTTTGATAAGGACACCAACCATAGTGGATTAGGGTCTACCCTAATGACCTCAATTTTAACTTGATTACCTCTGTAAAGACCCTATTTCCAATTAAGGTCATATTCTGGGGTACTAGGTAGGGTTTGGGACTACAATATCTCTGTGTGTGTGTGTGTGTGTGTGTGTGTGTGTGGTGGTGGTAGTGGTAGGTGGGGAGGGGACACAAATCAACCCATAACAGGCCTTGAGATTGCATCTAGAAAATTTCTAGGGGGAAGTGGTCCCCATCAGGGTTTTCAATTATAAGAGATGAGATGTTGGCTCTGTCTATAGGATAGTGTCCCCTCAACAAGTGCCCTGAGAATTTATATTGCCCAGTGAAGGGCAGACCCACCAGGAAATAGCCATATAACAATCTGTCATAGCACAAGAATTTTCCTTTCTGCAGGTGGCTTGCAAAGCTTTCAAGCGTGAGCACAGGCTGTGTCCAAGCCCTAGCAAACACCTGAGTCTTTCTCTGTTCATAGGTGAGGGGTGTATGGCTTCTAACTCAGGTGGCCAGGCTTGGAGCCAGTCCCTAAGTGGCCAAAGCCTTTGAAGGTGCTCTGATCTCTCCAGAGGAGCCTGTTTGTTTGGTCAGTTGAGCTGCTTCATTGAGAAGCCTCGCCGGAGTTCCCTTGCACAGGCCTACCTTCCTGATGCTCTCACTTGCTATTCTGAAACTGCAGGTAGCAATGACTGTCTTGAGGCTTCTAGACCCTAGTAGCAAGGGATAAAATTTTGCCAACTGATTGCACTGAATGGAGTCAGTAAACATAGTGATTGAAAATCTTAGCACTGTTGATATATATTTACTGAGCACCCACTATGTGCTAGGTAATGTGGGAATATTTATTGGGCACTGTGGTAGATTGCAAAATTAGCCCCAATTCTCCACTTATCCTGTACCCATGTTCTTTGTGATGTGACTTTGCTTCTCCTCCTATGAGGAGGTGGAGTCTATTTCTTCTTCACCCTTGGATCTGGACTGGCCTTGCAATTTTCTTTAGTCAAGACAACTGTGGAAATGAAGCAGTGCTAATTTTGAGCCTAGACCTTCAGAGACCTTTCACGATTCCACTCTTGCTCTTAGGACCCTGCAGCTCCATGTGAACAAACTTGGGCTAGCCTGCTGGTAGATTGGAGACATGCAGCCCACTTGCCTCAGCTGACAGCTAGCCACCCCTCAGAAGCAGAGGCCTCTGAATGCCTGGCAACTGACCCCAGATGTATGAGGGAGTCCAGAAGAACTGCCCAGCCAAACCCAGCCTAAGAAACTGACCCATAAAATCACAAACTAAATTAGCCATCATTTTAAGCCACATCTAAATCGTGGGGTGTTTTATTACGCAGCAAACACTGACTGATACAAACACTTAGCATATGCCAAGCTCTGGTACTTGAAGTCAGGCAGAGTCTTGTGCACAGATGGTATAATTATGTGTATAATGCAGTAAGTGCTCTGGAGAAGCAAACACAGCAGGAATAGAAGAGGTGGCATTTGAGCTGGGGAGGAATCTTGTCTCTGTGGAGTTGGAGGGTCCAGGATAAACTTCCTGGGGCAGGGGATTGGCTAAGGTAAAGAATGAATGTGGGAAACCCCAGGCTGGGGCCATCATTTGGCAGTATTTACTGAACCCTTACTATGTACTCAGAAACACTGTACTAGCTGTCTCAGGTTTGCATGTGGCCTGGCAGGGGAGAGGAGACATCCATGTGCAAATGTTGGCCAGAAATGTCAGGCTGGTGTTCAGTAAAACAGAAGTAGCTATGTCTGCTTTGTCCAGAGTACAAGTATCTTGGCTTGGGCAGAATGGGACTCCACTCATTTGTTATTTATATCTGGTATTTGGTATATGTCTGGCAGGGATTCAGTGGTAAAGGATCAGAAAACAGGGCTGCTCAGGCATCCACTCAACTGATAACCCCTTGAGGGCACAGTCTGTGTCTGAGTCTTCCTAGTGTACTGGGAGACACCGGGCCTTGCATATACTAAGCATTCAGTTTTGAAAGACTGATTTTGTAGATATTTACCCTCCTCTTTCTTTTATTCCTACTAACCTATAGTATTTGTTTCCTAGAGCAGCTTCAACAAGTTGCCACAACAACAGAAATTTATTCACTCACGGTTCTGGAAGCTATAAGTCCAAATCAAACTATCTGTAGGGCTGGCTCCCTTTTGGAGGATCTGAGGGAGAATTTATTTTCTTGCCTGTTCCTCGCTGCTGATCCTTGCCAACACGCTTGGGTACTCCTTGGGCACTCCTTGGCTCGTAGCTGCATCACTGCAGTCTCTGCTTCCATCATCCCATGGCGTTCTCCCTGCGTGTCTCTCTGTGCATTTCTTCTAAGAACACTGGGCACATTGGATTAGGGGCACACCCTACTCCAGTGTGACCTTATCTTAACTAATTACACCTGCAGTGACTCTATTTCAAAGTGAGGTCACATTCTGAAGTCCTGGGGGTTAGGGCCTTAACATATCATTTTTGGTAGTGGTGAGGTGGGGGGTTGGGGAGACAGAGTTCAACCCTTAACATCCATCAAGGCCCAAGGGAATGAGTTTTTCCTTGTCTGCCACCCCTAGCGGCAGAATTAAGTGTGCTTTCTTCAGGACTCCCCACCCCCACCCCCATACTTGATGTGTACTTCTTTTCATTAGAGCTTTTGACACCGTCAGCGTCCGGTTGAGGCAGGGGCCTCACTCTTTCGTCTTCCCGAGCGTCCCGCAGAGGGTGTGCGGTGAGCTCCCCGAGACGCCAGGCCCGTGCAGCGGCCCCTCCCCTGAGGCTCTCCCGTCAGGGCGCGGGCACTGCATTAGACGCTCCACGCGTTAATCCCCACCATGGCCTGTGAAGTAGCCATTTATGAATTTTAGTTCCTATTTTATAGATAAGAACGTTTGGCTTTAGAGACGTGAGGTAACTTAGCGTAGCCAGAATTATCGCCTCTAAAAACCTGAATGGGCACCGGGGACGTCACATGGAAAGTTCCCCACGCTCCATCCTCACGTTTTTTCAGATGACCCCTGACCCGGCTAGTTCAACTCCATTTCCTCGAGACACCCAGATCCGGAGCCTCGGAGCCACTGATCCTGGGATATGTTGCCCGTCCCCGTCCACACCTGGGCTCTCCGCAGCACCCTCCCTTCAGAAGCCGCACACAAAGCGGGGCCTCCCCGCAGACGGGAGCGCGCGGGCCGCCTTTAGGCGCGCGCCACTGCCGGGCGCGCAGGGCGGGGGCGCGCGCTGATTGGTTGCGCGAGGCCCGGGCTCTGGGCCTGCTCCCGCCCCGGCGCCGGTCCTGGCGCGGCGATTGGCCGAGCGGTCGCGCGCGCTCAGCCCGCAGCCCCGCGCGCCCCGCCCCGCCGGCGCGGAACTCGCGTGGGGCGCCGGCGGCGGCCGAGGGAGTGTGACTGCGCTGCGCAGGGCGCTAGGAGGCATTGTCGCCGTAAGTGGAGCCGAAGGCGGCCCGGAGCGGGGCCACACGCTTGGTGCCCCGCAAAGTAAACGTGGTCTGAGGCTAAGCGTTGCAGGGGCTGGGGGAGAGAGGGAGAGAAGTGCCCCGGTTTTTGCAGCGTTCCGTCCCCTCCCCCAGGTCACCCGGCGGAAAAGGGCAGCGGTGCGCCGGCCGCGGCTCCTGCGGTGCCCAGGGGCCCGGCACGCGCCGGCTCTCGCTGGCGCACCGCTGCAGGACCCCGAAGGCTCGGGGGAGTGGGCGCAGCGGTGCCAGGGAATAGGAGCCCGGGGAAGCGCTCCCTGGCGGGCCTCCATTCCCGGGGGAGGCGCCCTTGCCAGGAGAGGCTGCTGTGCGTTTCGTCCCTGAAGCGACACTTTCGTGGTTTGCTTCCGCTCCGGGGAGCTGCAGACGCCTGCTCCAGAGCGTCCTGTCGGCCTCCGGGCAGCGCGGAACCCTTGGCCATCTGAGATCGCCAGCGTCCCCCCGCCTCAGCCTGTTTCATTCTCTCCGTTCCCCGCCCGCCGGTGCCATTGGCTGTGGGCACCGGGCGGTGAGGCGGGGCCAGGCCGTGGGGCGCGGGGACCCTGGCTGGCCACCGCGCACAGTGCTGGGAGGTGCAGTCCGAGGATGCCTAGGTGCCCATAAGGGAACACGCGCGGGGCTCCCCGAACCCCAGGGCGCAAAAACGAGGCGCCAGCTGGTCCGGCTCACGCCCCAGCGGGCTTCTTCCCCTTGGATGGGAAAGTGGGTCAACTCTGTTCTGGTCTCAAGTGGGCCTTTGGGGCTACTTGGGTCCCAGCAAGCGCTCCGTCCCTCACCTCCCCACCCGCTCCTGGCTTGGCACGAAGGACAGGCCGGCTGCAGCCGGGGGGGGGGGGGGGGGGGGGGGGGGCGGGGGGGGGGGGGGGGGGGGGGGGGGGGCAGCTCGCACATATGGCTCAGGAGGCTCCGGTTGCCTGTCGGAGCTGCTGCCAGGCTCTAAAGTTCCCAGCTGACCACACCAGTAACTAAATATAGGAGCAGCTGGTGCGGACGGGGTGTCGCAGTGGCTCCTTTGCAGCGATCTTGGGACTGCAGATAAGGTAGAATTTTTGCTGGTAACGACGGGAGTCTGAGGACCACGATCTGGGTTTAAGCAAAAATCGTCCCTTCCCCAGCCTTGTATCCAGGTGAAACCAGGTTATAGGGACAGGAGGGCTGTAGTGCCAGCTCCCATAAAACAGTACTTTCCCCCTCCAGCCAATTTATTATATTCAAACTTCCTCTCTGCACCTGTTTAATCACCTGTTGGTAATGCCTTAGTGTGGGAAGCACTTAATGGTTTGCAAAGTCCGTTCTCAAAAGTTACATATCAGTTATTATACTTCTCACAACAACCCAGTGAGAAAGGTGCTATTTCCATTTTACAAATGGGGCTGCTCCCAACACTGATAACTTTCTAAAAACTCGGGTTGGATTAGGCTACTTTCCTCAAAAAACTTCTCTTAGTTCCCTACAGAGAACCAGAGGACAGGTTTGTAAGAGGCCTATAGTTCCCTCCCCAGCAATCTGAGAACAGACTGGCTGCTGTCTCCCTCTCTCCCAAATCCCTTTGTGCACCTGCTGCTCAGACCTTCTCTGCTCTTCCCCCTGCCTATGCCATGTGCCTTCATGACCCCGACTCCCTGGGCCTGGTGCTGCCATCTCTTAGTAGGAGCTTGTTCTGGCCCATACCCCATCTGTGTACCTTTACTTCCCTGGTGTGGGCCTTATGGGAGGTGTCCAGGAGATGTTTGTTGGATTTCAACATTTTCTGGGACCATGATGCTCACTCTGAGGAACAGAGAGTTGGGGGTGTGTGGAGAGGGTGACGTTTCAAGGACAGCAGTAGTGTGAGTATGAGCTTAGACCCTGTGCTGAAGCCCAGATTTGCCCCGGGCAGGCTTATGGTACCTCTTTCTCCTTTTTCGGACACTCTCTGACCTGCTGCTTCCACCATCCCTGCACGTGGGGTTGACCAGATGCCTCGAGGAGCCCATAACTTGGGTCTTTTGGGCTCTCCTGGGTTCTGGTTCCAGGAGGGCTGCCCTCTGCGCTGATTGCTCAAATGGTGCTGACGCTGGTTGGAGTGTGTCCCAGGCACATCTCTGCTGTACTCAGAGCATCCTCTGGAATATAAGAGGTCCTTCATCCTAGTGAATTTCTCTGACACCTAGGTTTTACATGTTGTTCCTGTTCCAGCTCCTATGTCCATGCTGACGCACATGAGGGGGGCGTTCTGAGTTTGCCAACAGGGGTGAGATGTTTAATCTGACTAGTTTTTATCAATCGCCTAGGCACCTCCCCACCTGGTGGCAGCTGGTAGAATTGCAGGAATAGCGCCTGTTTGAAAGAAGCCTGTGGATCCTACCAGGGTTAGCGGAGACTCTGGCAGCTTGGCAATTTCCCTCCCCTTCCCTTCCCTCTGTGCTGTGAGGCCAGGATTGCCTCAGTGTTGTTCTTCAGAGAGCTCTTCCTCATCAGAATCACAAGTCAGAGCTATTTCCTGTGTTTCTTTCCTCCCTCTTCATTCTCATGCCCATGCCAGTAGATGCTCCATAAATGCTTATAACTATTGATGATGAATATTGGAGATAGGGAAGGGAGAAGGCATAATATAGTGGAAAGAGTGCTAGTCTGGGAATTAGGAGACCTAAGTTCTTGTTTTCTTTCTTTCTTTCTTTTTATTTTATTTTATTTTTTAGACAAAGTCTCACTCAGTCACCCTGGGTAGACTGCTGTGGTGTCAGCCTAACTCACAGCACTTGAGCTCCTGGCTCAAGTGATCCTCCTGCCTCAGCCTCCCAAGTAGCTGGGACTACAGGTGCTCACCACCATGCTGGGCTAATTTTTTCTATTTTTAGTAGAGATGGGGTCTCGCTCTTGCTCAGGCTGGTCTCAAACTCTTGACCTCAAGCAATTCACTTGCCTCGGCCTCCCAGAGTGCTAGGATTACAGGCGTGAGCCAGTGTACCTGGCTGGTTCTTTGTTTTCATCTAGCTGGTTCACCTCCCCTCTTGGGTCCTCAGTTTTCCCATTCTTAAAGGGGTTAGACTAAGTCACCAAGACTCCAGCAACATGGCTGTGATTCAGGCTTAGGGGATAGTCTTAAAGGCAGCGCAGTGAAGGTGTTGGGTCCAGTTTGCCAAAGTCCTTTCTATTCCCTATTGTCCTATACTGGCCTACCTTTTGCAGTTTGCCCACCTGGTGTCTTTAGGCATTTGAATTTATGACCCTTTTCTATTTAGACAATGTCTTAGATTTGTTATAAGACCCATCTGAACTGTATTCACATTTTCAACCCAAATGATGTCTGTTAATCTTCATCATCACCATTGGGGGATACTAATTAAGCATCTCTGTTCAGTGTATGATGTATAGTGCAGGTGAGAAGCACAGTATAGATCTGCTCTCTGCCCCAAGTTGCCCCACAGGCCAACAGGGGAGACAAGTGTATGTGTGGCTCATAAATAACCCAAGTGATGTGTGCTAAGCCATTAAGTGCTACTGAAACTCAGAGGGAGGAGAGAACACTGAGGCAATCAGGGAAGACTTCCTAGAGGCGGAGAGATGGAAATTGTACTCATTCCTCAAAGCTGAGTTCCACTGAGTTTTTTGTTCAGAGTCACACTGGGATTAGATGCTGGTGTTATAGTTGCACATGTACTGATTTCTTTTCTCAACTACCATTTATTGAGTATTTACATGTCCTAGACTCCAAGCTAGATGGGTATATATACTTTATTCAATCTTCATATCAACCCAGCAAGGTTGGTATTACTAGGTCTCCAAATCAGATGAAGAAACAGGCTCAGAGCAGTTAAGAAACTCTCCTAAGGCTTCTCAGCTAATAAATGGTTGAGTTGGGCATTAGGCCTGTCTCCATAAAACAGCCTTTCACCACTGTGCCATGTATCTCAAACCTCCAGTGTCAGCCTCCTTGATGAAACACATATGTATGCTACATTCACACCAACTCCCCCAAGCACATGGGTGGGCCTGGCCAGCTCTGGCGTGGCCTCACCTGCCTGCTTATCTAGTTGAGCACGTGGGAACTTTGTTCTGGCGTCTGTTCCAGCTCTGAGCAGTGTCCCCATGGCCCTTGTCTCTGCCCTTTCCGTTCTTTTTCCTTAGGCCCTCAGAACAAGTTTGTTGGAGCTCCTCGAGCTGTCTGTGAAGCTGGGATCTCGGGTTCTGAAGCAAAAAGGGGTGCTGACCTGAGCCTCAAGTTCATTCCTCTCTCCATGGAATGCATGCTGCTATTGGCAATGGGGGATGGGAGGGGGACTTTTGCAAAAAGTGAGCACTGGATATGGAGCTGGGCCGACCCAGTTATTGCCACTTACTCATCTTTACCTTGGCCAGGTCACTTAGCTTCTCTTTGTGCCCTAGTTTCCTTCTGTGTAATAAACAGGGAGCTGGGGACATTTCTGTGTCTTCATATCTTAACACCTTATCATTTTGTCTTTCTCATCCTTCTTTCAGCCTCTTCTCCCCTAGTGATCCAATTTCCCTTCTCCCATTTCCTTCCTCCCCCTCCCTTTTCTTGCAGATAAACTCAGCATCAGCTGGTAATCAGGTCTGTGGGCCAATTGATCAGGTCTGATGGCCAATCTCCCCGTCCATATGGGCACATGGAAGGGAGTTTGTAGAGACCACCCCCACCCAGCCTGTGAGCTCTGATTGGCTCTCGGGGCTCTGATTTACCTTTGTGTCCCCACTTCCTGCCTGGCAGGTGTGGGTGGAGTGAACAGGGGAGCTGGAGAATTGTCCTGAGGGGTGTGGACAGGGTGCCAGCTCAGAGGCTGTGGGATGGAGGGACAGGTGTCTTTCCCCTGCAGTTGGCTGTGCCCCGCCTCCTCCCTGACGCCCCGCCTGTTGAGTGAGTCACAGGCCAGCGCACACCTGTGTCCTCCTGCCTGCCTGGCCGCTGGTTCAGGCCTGGACCCTGGGTCTGGTGAGGTCATACGTGTTGATCCTCCCAGAACACCGGTAGGGCCCAGGTGCCGCCACTCTCTGACAGGCAGATCAGCCACTCCAAGGGCCGAGCTGGATGTGGCCTGGGCTCTGGGCTCCGCAGGAGGAGGTGAGTGACCTGGGCCCTCTGCCCAGGCTTCCTGGCAGCCTGGGGCTTGGGGAGGAGGTCGCTGGGGGTGAATGCAGGGGCGGGGACCCCGCTGAAAGGCGAGCACTTCACGGCCCTGCGTCTTCCCCAGGCACAGGCCCCTTTGTGAGCAGCAGACCGGCCTGGGGGCTGGCGGCAGGACACCCGTGGCTGCATGCTGAAGAAGATGGGTGAGGCCGTGGCCAGAGTAGCGAGGAAGGTCAACGAGACGGTGGAGAGCGGCTCTGACACCCTGGGTGAGTGAGGGCAGGGCTCTCCCACTGCCTGGAGGTGGTGGTGAGGTGAGCTTAGCAACGAGATCGAAGAGGGGAGAGAGACAGTCTCATGTGCGCCCTTGCCACACAAGCATTCCGTGTAACTGTCATTGCAGCGGTGTGCAGTTTGTGTGTTCTGGCTCTCAGTGTAAGGCGTGTTTCTTACTATGGGTCATGGTGAAAGAGGTTTGAAAATCACGGAGCCTGTCCGCTTGCCCTCGGACTGCCAGTGACTGAGTGCGCGTGTGCCTTTGGAGCAGCTGAAAGTGTGGAGTGGCACCCGCGTACCAGGCCCTGTGCCGGCGCCTCTGAGTGTTATCTTGTTGGATCCTCACAGCTCCCGGGGTGAGTGATGCCTGCTGGGCCCCGTGAGTCCCAGTCTGCAGATGGGGGGGGAGGGGCGAGACGGCAAAGTGGATTTTTTTTGAGGTTGCCCAGTCAGGAGGCCCCTTGACACTCCATTATTTCACTTGAATTGTGTTTTATGTTTTTTGCTTTGAATTGGTCATAGTGTTTTTTCCCATCAGTCAGCCCAAGACTCCAAGTCATCCCATTTAATTGAATTCAGCAGATATTTATTGATCATCTGCCCTGTGCAAGGGGCAGCAGGGGGTACAGTGCAGTTAGCTGCGTGTGCACATGCTAGTGTGTGCATGTGCGCATGTGTGTCTGTGTGTGCATGCACATCTGTGCACATGCTTGTGAGTGTGTGTGTATGCGTGTATTTATGTTTCGCTCACCAGAACCTGGCACCACCACAGGCATGTTGTGGGAACCAGGAGGCCTGGAGCACAGTCCTGCCTGGGGGATGATCATGCAGATGGACAGGTAGAATGTGGGTTAGGCCTTCGGTACATAAAAGGGATTTCACAGGCAATTTGGGGTGTGTGTGCCTGTGTGTGCCGATGTCTGTCTGTCTCATAAAGGAGCATCTATTTCCATGGTGGTTATTGCCTAGCTAAGACCCAGGACTGGAAAGGTGGAGCATTTCTGTGAGCAGCTACTCATCAGGTGTGTCTGGAATGCAGGCTTCCACAGCAGGGAGTGGTGGTCCAGGAAGTGGAGGGACACCCAGCCTTCAAGATGCGCTTGGTCACTGCCTCTTCCAGGAACCCCTCCGCCCAGCCCTCTCCACTGCTTGATCCCTTCCTCCTCTGAGGCTCTCATTCAGCATCCTTGAAGGCAGGGACCCTGTGGTCATTTGCACGCCCCTGCCCCGCCAGCCTAGTACAGTGTCAGGCACTTTGGAAGCAGTAGAGGTGTTTGCTAAGGTGAGAGGGGCACCTCCTCTGTCAGCAAGCTCACTAAAGACTGAAGATTGTGGTTGGTGTTGGAGGGAAGTCTCTGGGGGAGCCCTTAGCTGGTGAGCTGATGGCTATGGGCCTCAGTGAGGGGACTCTGTGATCCTCCCCCAGTCCCCAGCATGGCTGGTCCAGGCTGTCTACCACTGAGACTGTGGGTGAGAGCCAGGCCTTGGGGCACATGGACCTGGATTTGAATCCCCATTCTGCTACCTACTGTCCTGGTACCTTAGCAGATGGCTTAACCTCTCTGAGCCTCTCTTCCTTCATGTATAAAATGGAGATGGGAACTGTGTCCACCTCATCAGGGTGGTTAGGAGTAATTGTCATGTTTATAAGGTGCTTAGCATGGAGGGAGCTCAATAATTTTTAATTTTTACTATTGTTATTAATATTATTTTTAATTTTTACTCATCCCTGAAAGCTGGTGGTAGGGCCTAAGTTTTCCCCTGTGCAAATGTACCTCCTCCAGGTGTCAGTCAGCCAGGTCCCCACCGGCCCTGCTTCTAATTGCTTCTGAATAGGGAGTTCAGAGCAAATTGACAGCTCAGATCAAATTGACCACCACCATGTCTGAGTTTGGAACCCTGACTGTCTGGCACCAGAGCCTGAGCCCGTTCCCTACCATGCAGCCCTGGGGTAGGGGTGAATTGTTGGTGATCACCAAGTTATGAGTGCAGCAAAGCTCTAGTCAACTTGGGAGAGTCTTTAGCCATGGCAATCTTGCCCGAAGCCCAAGACTTCCATGTGGAGGGACTGGGCCTTAAGGTTAGGGTTGAGCAATAGGGAGTCTTTGTGCCTCTGCAGTGGCCAGAGAAGTCAAATATCAAACCAGGCCACTGTGGGCACCTGCAGTCCCCACCCTTGGTAAGTGGAGCTGACCAGGCTCATACAATCTAAGGGGGCTGGAGTCTAAGCAGTCAGTAAGTATTGAGTACCTGCTGTGTACAAGGTACGTTGGAGGCTCCCAGGGATGTGTGCTGTAAAGTCCTGGACCTGAGACCAGCCTACCACCTAGGAGACAGTGTAGGATCCATGCTAAGCTGTGTCATATGGACCACAGGTTGTCATAATTCAGAGATAGGAGATGTTGCTGGGTGCTGACGTAGTCCAGGAAGGCTTTCTGGAGGAGGTGGGAATTGAACTGGGTCTTGAAAGATAGGTGAAGTAACTCTACATGGTTCTCATGTAAAATAGCAAACAATCTGAAGCAGCCTAAACATCTAGCACCAGAAAATTGCTTAAATAAATTTTGTCACAGCCACACAATGCCATTTATGTAGCCACTAACAATGGTACATGACATTTCGTTGTATGCTTGAATAGACTGGCACATTGTCTTGTATAACATGAATTGGAAAAAACCAAGGATTCTAAACTGTATATAGAGTAAGATACCAATTACGTTAAACATGTGTGTGTATATGTAGAAAAGAAAACAGAAGGAAATAAAACAAGATAGAAATGGGAGTTAGAAAGTACTATTCTGCATTTTTTAATGTTGTACAATGAATGTATAACACTTAAAATTAGAGAATAGATTTTAGATAAAGGACAACCTGCTGCTCTAGAAGGTGGAAATAAAACACGTGTCCCAGCAACAGTCGAGAGTTCAGGGGTAGCTCCTTCTGGAAGCCCAGGACCCTGGGAGAGACGTGGGTTTCCCTGGCTCCTCCCTTTGTGCTGCCCCCCCCCTGCCCTCCAGTGTGCAGGCCTGGCAGGGTGGCCACTGCAAGTCGCAGGTGCATTGCTGCAGAGTGTGAGATCCCCTGTAGAGACTGGGCTGGAAGAGCTCGGTTACAGGCTTGCTCTCACCTTACTCAGGTGGGTAACCCTGCTAAGCACCGCTCACACTCCTCTAGCAGTCCCCGGGCACCTCCGGTGGCACTGGAGCCAGGCTCGCTCCTCCTGTAACCTGAGCCTGGGTCCCAGCCCTTCTCACCCGCCTCCAGGCTTCTGCATCCCCAGAAGTGGGCTCCTTTCCATCTGGCCCAGTAGGCCCTCGGCTTGGGTGGAAGCCGCTTTCCTGGCAGCCCCTCACCCCTCTTGGGCACCATCGTTAGACTCTTCTAACCACCAGCCTGCAGAGTTGAGAACTCTGCACTGTACTCAGCCTCCCTCCCCTGAACCAGGCTTTCCTGCCTACTGCCTACTGTCTCCAGAGTGAGCGGCTTTCCCTCTGTCTGGGCTTCCCTGGGTCCTGTGCTCCTGAGTGGCCCCAGCCTGCCCTCACATTCCCTCCAGCCAGGCCAGGCCTGCCCTCACATTCCCTCCAGCCAGGCCCTGCACCCCACTGCCTCCAGGGCAAAGGCTCCTAGGTCTGCTGTGTGCTTTGGGGATGACTTTAAAGCATGATTGTTACTGCAAAGGAGTGAGTGGGATTTAGAGAGGCCTGGGACCAGGCAGGAAGAACGGACATGCCCGGCTGGGACAGAGGCGCTGCCCAGGTGGCAAAAGGAGAGACCAACAAGCTCTGGGAAGGGAGGAACCAGCCTTTGTCTGGGGCCTGCTGTGTGTCAGGCTGCTGGGCTGGGCATGTTCACGTTCGATATCTTTTATTCCTCTCTGAAGCCTTTTGTACTTCCTGACTCTAAGGATTCCTGTCTGGGTACATTTCTAAAAAATTCTAAGCTGTTAGCCCATGGCACTCTGCTCTCCCCCTCCCGTCTTTTTTTGGAGGCAGGGTCTGGTTGTCACCCAGGCTGGAGTACAGTGGCAGGATCACAGCTCACTGCAGCCTCGAACTTCTGGGCTCAAGAGATCCTCCCATCTCAGCCTCCCAAAATATAAGGATTACAGGTGTGACCTTTTCTCTATTTTTGAACCCTGGGGCTTGCCATTATTATGGTTGTAAACACTTTACTGGTTTTGACTTGCTTAATCTTCATGATAACCCTCTGACAAAGGTGACATTAATATCCCCATTTTACAGATGAAGAAACAAAGTTATGAAACATTTTTTTTCATCCAGTGTTTCAAAGTGTTTTGTTGCATAAGGGTATTCAACTTACCTCCTCTACTGTGTTGCTTTTGCAGTAGTTTCCTCTGTTTGATAGATGCTGGAGCTATACTGAGTGGACCAGTGACTTTGCTGTTGACACAGCTGCTTAGAGGTGGAGCCAGAGCTCACCCCAGGTCTGTGGGGTGCACAGCCCTGCCTTCCTTGTGCACCCTGCTGCCCTCATTTAGGGGGTGGGGCAGAGAGACCCGAAGGACCTGAAGTTCCCTCCTCCTGCTCACACACCTGCCTCTCCTCCCAGGTCTGCTCAGAACCACAGTGGGCCCACCGTGTTCCTTGAAAAGGAGGAAAATAACCACAGGTGAACATCTACCATCGTACCTAATATTTACATCATTGTTAGGATGTCTCCAGTGGTAATGAGAGGATAGGGACAGCCCCCACGGGCTGTTTCTATGGAGCACTGTCACTCGGTCAGTTCCTCCACTCCTGCAGGTGTTCTAAAGGGTGGGTCCTGAATAACCAGCATCAGGATTGTATGGAGCATTCGAGCTCAGGAGTTCGAGACCAGACTGAGCAAGAGTGAGACCCTGTCTCTACTAAAAATAGAAGGAAATTAGCTGGACAACTAAAAAAAAAAATATATATATATATATTAGCTGAGCATGGTGGTGCATGCCTGTAGTCCCAGCTACTTGGGAGGCTGAGGCAGAAGAATTGCT